ATCATCCTCTTGGGGCATCCTCACGTGCAGGATGAATCCATCCATCCATCCATCTTCCATCATCTCTTGGGGTCCTCCACCTCAGATGCCTTCCCAGGGCTTCTCCACGTGTCTTCACACGCAGGATGCATCCATCCATCCATCTTCCATCCTCTCTTGATGTCCTCCATGTTCAGGTGGTTTCCCAGGGCATTTCTGTTTCTTCTCATGCAGGATGGATCCATTCATCTTGCATCATCTCTTGGGGTCCTTCATCTCAGGTGCCTTCCCAGGGTATCTCCATTTCTTCCCATACAGGATCCATCCATCCATCCATCCTCCATCATTTCTTGGGATCCTCCATCTCAGGTGGAGGTCAACTCTTCTTGTCCTCAGTCTCGATCATCCTTTTGGGGCATCTTCATCCCCCTTGACCTGCCAGAAGAGTCCCAGTCTTGTGTCGTCTCCTGGTGGTGGCACCAGGTGGTTTCCCAGACCGTTTCCATCCTTCACATCCAAAAATGTCCCTGCCTCTCGTGCCCTCCTTGGCACTGGGTGTCACTCCTGACGTGCCAACCACCTCCTTCCACCCTGCACCACCCTCTCCTGGTGTCATCACCATCATCCCTTGATGTCCTCAGCACCAGACGTCCTCCTGGAGCGTCTCCATCCTCCCTGACGTGTGAACAACCTTCCTCATCATCATCAACCCTTGATGTCCTCTGCACCAGGTTCCCTCCTGGACCATCTCCATCCTTCTCCGTCCTCTTCCATGTGCAAGACCACTTGATGGTCTCCTGGTGTCACTGGATGTTCTTCTGGAGCATCTCCACCTTCCTTCACGTGGAAACAACCTTCCTCCATCATCATCATCATTGTCATCCCTTGATGTCCTCAGCACCAGACATCCTTCTGGAGCATCTCCATCCTTCTCCATCCTCTTCTCTGTGCGAGCTGCCTCCAATCACTCGGCATCACCTCCTGGTGTCCTCACCCTGGATGTCCTCCTGGAGCATCTCCACCCTCCTCCATGTGCAAACAACCTTCCTCCATCCTTCATCATCATCCCTTGATGTCCTCAGCACCTGATGTCCTCCTGGAGCATCTCCACCCTCCTTCACATGCCAACGACCTTCCTCCATCACCTCCTGGTGTCCTGACCCAGGACATCCTCCTGGACCATTCCAATGACCTTCCTCCATCACCTCCTGGTGTCCTGACCCAGGACATCCTCCTGGACCATTCCAATGACCTTCCTCCATCACCTCCTGGTGTCCTGACCCAGGACATCCTCCTGGACCACCTCCATCCTCCACATCCCCCCCACAGAAGCTGCCACTTGCCTGTGCCCCCCGTTGCCCCCTGCCCGTTCCCGAGGTCCCACCCCTGTTCCGTCACCCCCAGGACACATCCCATCCCCTGTGCCACCACCCCCCTCCCCAGGGGCTCAGAGTGGGGGGACCCTTGGCCCCGCTGAGCTCCCGGTCGCTCCCCGTTGTCCCGCAGCCGACATCGCGCGCAACATGGGGGCCAAGACGGTGATCGCCATCGACGTGGGCAGCCAGGACGAGACCGACCTGTGCAACTACGGCGACAGCCTGTCCGGCTGGTGGCTGCTCTGGAAGCGCCTCAACCCCTGGGCAGAGAAGGTCAAGGTGGGTCCTGGAGAGTTGTCATGGGTTGGCTCTCTTGGGTCCCTTCCAACTCATATCCCGTGATCCTGTGAAGACCCCTTCTCTCATCCCACCACCCAGGGCTTTGCCAACGGGGGACTGCCCCTGTCCCTCACCCACATTCTGGGGCGGATCAGGGGCCGTGGGGATGAGGTGAAGGGTGGGCTGTGAGCTCGGGGTGCCCCCAGGGGCAGATCAGGGGCTGTGGGGACACTGGGGACAAGGTGAGGGGTGGGCTGTGAGCTTGGGGTGCCCCCAGGGGCAGATCAGGGGCCATGGGGACAGTGGGGATGAGGTGAGGGGTGGGCTGTGAGCTCCAGGTGCCCCCAGGGGTGGATCGGGGGCTGTGGAGATGGTGGGGAGGAGGTGAGGGGTGGGCTGTGAGCTCTGGGTACCCCCAGGGGCGGATCAGGGGCCGTGGGGATGGTGGGGACAAGGTGACGGGTGGACTGTGAGCTCCAGGTACCCCCAGGGGCAGATCAGGGGCTGTGGGGATGGTGGGGACAAGGTGACGGGTGGACTGTGAGCTCCAGGTACCCCCAGGGGCAGATCAGGGGCTGTGGGGATGGTGGGGACGAGGTGAGGGGTGGGCTGTGAGCTTGGGGTGCCCCCAGGGGCGGATCAGGGTCCGTGAGGACTCTGGGGATGAGGTGAGGGGTGGACTGTGAGCTCCAGGTGCCCCCAGGGGCAGATCAGGGGCTGTGGGGACTCTGGGGACAAGGTGAGGGGTGGGCTCTGACCTCCAGGTGCCCCCAGGTGCCCGACATGGCCGAGATCCAGTCCCGCCTGGCCTACGTGTCGTGCGTGAGGCAGCTGGAGGTGGTGAAGTCGAGCTCGTACTGCGAGTACATCCGCCCGCCCATCGACCGCTTCAAGACCATGGACTTCGGCAAGTTCGACGAGATCTACGTGAGCTGGGGGGCTTCAGGGGGGGCAGGCGGGGCCTGGAGCGGTGGGTGGGGTGTCCCACCCATCAGATGGCATGTCCCACCCATCAGTTGGGGTGTCCCACCCATCACTTGGGGTGTCCCACCCATCAATTGGGGTGTCCCACTCATCACTTGGGGTATCCTACCCATCAGTGGGGTGTCCCACCCATCACTCGGGGTGTCCCACCCATCAATTGGGGTGTCCCACCCATCAGTTTGGTGCCTGGGGCGATGCTTTGGGTGCCCAGGCTGTCATTTGGGGCTCCCCAACCATCAGTTGGGGTGTCCTACCCATCATCGGGGTGCCTGGGATATCACTTTGGATGCCCCAAGCCATGGGTTGGGGTTCTGCAGCCCTCACTTGGGGTGTCCTACCCATCACTTGGGGTGTCCCACCCATCAGTTGGGGTGTCCCACCCATCAGTTGGGATGTCTCACCCATCAGTTGGGTGCCTGGGATGTCACTTTGGGTGCCCAGGTTGTCATTTGGGGCTTCCCACCCATCAGTGGGATGTCCTTGGCCATCAGTGGGATGTCCTGGGCCATCAGTGGGATGTCCTGGGCTGTCAGTGGGGTCTCCAGCCCATCCCTGAGGTACCCCAGGCCCTCTCTA